ACTGATCAGCGATCAAATCCTGGATCGACTCTTGCCCAAGCCAACCAAGCCTTCTACCCTAGCGCGATGGTAAAATGGTACCGGATTCGTCTGGAGAACGAAACTTTGACTTGTATATCGTCTGGCCCCCGCAAGTCATTGTACATTCAATAAGCCACTATGCATTCACCATCAGGAAACCTTTCGAAGGCGCCGCGTGACCAGTAGGCGCCCTCGCCGCTAGCCGGTCGTGCTTTCCTCACGCATTTCCAAACTGTAAGAGTTGCTGGCAGGATGCCAAAAAATGCGTTTGTACATCAAATGAGCGCGGAACGGGCAAGTGGCTCGATGATCCCTAAGACGTGTAGGATTAACACGCCTAGCAGGACAAAATTTGGCGCCCCTAAGGTAAGCAGGCGCAGCGTTGCGCCTCCCAAGGAAGGCACCGTAGCGCCCTATCAAACTGCAGCATGCCGACCCGATGATCGCTCACAAAAGTCGGATCTGTATTGATGCTTGTATCGTTCCATTAAGAAGCGGCTAAGACGTTGCATGGATATATCAGCATAAAATGCACCCCTACATACCGTAGCGGTTATTGGCACGATGCCACCGGGAAATTCGTCCAAAATTGCTTTCTGAGCCGTGTGGAACAAAGGCTTTCTTGTAGGTTTTCGACCGTTCCACTTCGCTTTTTCGCCATTCTCCACAGTATAGCACCCCTGCTACCATTTCAGACCGAGCACCAAATTATAGTGCCTTATGCCTCTAACAGCGGATAATCAACAGTAAATTAGAATTGCTGCCGCTAAAAACAGCCCCTTTCTCTGAAGAAATACAAGGTTGTGTATGTTTGCGAGAATGGGTCCCAAATTTGTACTTAAAAGCAGCTTGCTTACCTAGGTACTCCATGAACGACTTCTGATCTGATCCTCCCGAAGGAGTGGGGATCCGAGGCAGGCCTGCATACCGGACATCTTTCATGTAATACAACCTGAAGCACTCCAAAAAAGGCTGATTCCTATAATCGACTTTTAGTTACCATGCGTCGAACACTGTTGTTCCGTTCACATCCTTTTCATCTTTTCTTGGATTTCTTATATGCTTCGCTGCTTCAACGGCTTGATCCTGGAGTGAAGGCACCGACTCAACAAATCTAAACAAATGTAGTGTAGTAGAGTAGTCGAGACAGCAATCAATTGAGAGAATATGGAGACACTTCCCATATTTTTCTGAATGTAACAAACTTTTCAAGCCGGGTCCCAACTTGCAAAATACGTAGCACTTTCCAATGGCACGGAAGCAGCGGACTAGCCGGCTTGCTCGTCTGTACGCTTTCTGGCCCTAGATTTTGATTCTCTTGTGCAAGGCAGAGATAGCCAAATTGCCAAGAGTCTAAGCCAAATTGCCAAGAGTCTAGGTTCACTCCGATCCCTACCAAGGTACAAACCCAGACCTGTAAAAATTTCAAAAATGTTTCGGTAGGATCAGAAGAAGCAAAAATGCGTTCGCGGCTGAACCGACTGGACAGACTCAGAAACGTGGACAACTGGTCATTCGTGCAAACGTCCCTTGTCCAAACAAAGGGCACAAGAGCAGGCACTACGATGGTGCAAGAATGCGCTCAGAAGGCCTGAGGTCAAAACATAAGGAGTGCACTGGGCTGTGAAGTCATCGGCAAGCGACTGCGAGGAGCTTCAAAGAAGAGATGGAAGCATGTTATCGAAGAAGACTCCACTGAAATCAAAGCGCGGCTGAAGGTGCTTTGATGAACGACGACGTCCAGTAAGAACAGCGGACCTCGCTACGGCCCGAGATTAACGCTGAGGAGAAGAAGAAAGACGAGAAGTCTGGTTTCTCGTTCGCGCACTCAGTATTTCTTTAACGCTTGCTCATACTTTCACAATATCAACTGAAAGAGAGCGAATTTTGTTGGGTTTTTGTACTATTTCCTTTATAACTGCTTTTATTACCAAGCTATTGAGTACCTACAGACTCAATTTCCATTGTCTCGCTATCATGAAATGCGCCTAAAAATCACTTACATTGTTTGATTTCCCTGAATGCAATCCATGTTCAGATAGGCGACAGCTCTTCGTGAGAGCAGCTCTGTGAAATCCTCTACAAACTCAGTCGAACCTAGCAAGCCGTACTCTTCGGCATCCCAAGCAGCGAACATCAATGATCGTGCTGTAACTGTGCGCTTGAGACAAGCATTAGCGCTTCGTCGGTAAACTTACCAGGGCGCCATCCCGTCTCGTTCACAACTTGCATCGTGGCTCGAGCAACCTCGGCAAGAATGGATGTACCGGAATTAGGATCCAAAGCGCCGTATGTCCATGCATCGTAGTGATTTCCAAGAATAACGTAACGATCCGGCTCCTCGTTCCCAATTATATAGCCGATAACATTGCGGATTTGTCTGGAAAAACGTGCATGAACACAATTTCTCGCCTTATAAAAAGTACGGTTATTGAAGGCGGTTGGCACGAATAATCTTTAACTTGACGACGAGCCGTTTTTTTATGAATTGCCCGTGGGACGGGACATTTTTCTTCGTAGAAACTTAGTAATTTTTGGATAAATGAATGGCTACGGTCAAAGTATTTCAAGAAATGCAGAAGGTGAGAATACGAATCTCGATCTTCGACACAATTTAGCTTTTATTGCTCCAGTCTTCAGAAATTAC